GCCCGAGGCTTCGGGCCTGCAGAGCAGGAGTCTGGATCTAGGCCCGACCTCCAGCCTGAGCTCTTGCCCCACTGCCATCTCCTAACAACTGACTGACTGGGGGCTGGAGACCATGGCTTCGCCCTCTGTGGCTGGACCACTGCCTTGGGGCAAGGATGGCCAGGTATTCCTGTTCCCAACACTGTTGGCCTCTTCTCTCAAAGAAGAGTCACATGTCTTCTCCTCTGGCTTGGGGTACATCGGTGTCACCCACCCGGACTCCCCAGAACAAACAGTCCTCCCCAGGTGTCCAGTCTGGTGCCCACACTCCAGGTGTGGACAGTTCAGAGAAGGAGGTAAGGGCAGGCCAGGGAGACCCGGATTTGAGTCCTGGCTTCACCTGTGACCCGGACAAATGACTGAGCCTCTCCATGGTTCAGTTTCCTCCTCTGTGAACTGGGGATAAATAATCCTTAACTCACAGGGGGTGCAGGAATAACAGCACTTACAGAGCACGTGGCAGGGCTCAGGAAGTGGTAACTATTGTTACAATCACCATCACCACCATGATGGTGATAGTGACCCGGCAGACGCTGGGTGGGCTTTGCCACCTGCCACCTTGCCCTACAGTGCGAACTCCACACACGCCAACGGTCTCCTTTTCCTACCTTCACAGAAGTCTCGACTCCTGCTGACAGGGTGGGGATCCGACTGCAGAGCCAAAGGTTTCCTGCTGCCTCTGGAAAGCTTCCAGATACCCCCATTCCTCCTGCCCCCCCTTGTCTTCCTCCAGCCCACTAACAAACTCCCTGGTCTGGAGTCCTTGCCAACGCTAATCAGGTGGTTTCCAGTACATCTCGGGGGATGCTGGTGGCTCTCCTGGGCTGCCAGCCTGGCGCCCAGTGCTTGGGAGGGCACTGCTCCCTCCTCTCTCGTCCTGCAGTTGCCAGATGCCCCATCATCTGCATGCCAGCTGGGAGATGGAGGCGCGTAGAAGGTTAAGGTCATGGACCAGGAGAGCGAGGGCAGGAAGTGGGGGTTTTATGGATTCCCTAAAGGAAAGTGAGCCAGCGACTCGGGGTCCCGAGTCCTGTACAGGATACCCTGACTGGCCAACCCACAGTAAGGGGCCTCGAGAGCTCACTGGTGCACTCAAGTTGCCATATGGCACGTGGCCTTGGGAAACAGTTATGCTTACGCTCCTCATTTATTTAGGGAATCACAGCAGCTGCTCTATCTTGAGTCATCTGGCTGGTACCCGGCTAAACTGGAACGTAGAAATGTCTACAACTCATCTCAGACCCCATGGCAAGGGCTGTAACTGTCAGGAGCCACGAAGAAACCCTCCTGCTCCTGCCGCCGGGTCACCTGGACTCAGACCCCGGGCACAGCTTCCTGGGTGTGAGCACACGAGTGCCCACGTTTGTGAGCATATCTCAGCAGAGGCTGCCATGGGAGCAGCCTGCCCAGGGATGTTGTCCAGAGACCACCACAAAGTGCTCAAACAAAGTGACCCACCATGATCCACGCCCCAGCCTCCCCCCCCCCGAAAGCTTCACTCAATCATGTGCCATGGGCACGCACAGCTCCGGCCACCTCTGGATGCTGTCCAGGAGCTGTCCCTTCCACCAGCCTTTAGGGCCCTGTCCAGTCAGGAGGGCCACATGGCCATTCTTCCTTCACTGGTGAGCAGAAGTCATCACAGAGGTGAGGTGACTTTCCCCAATCACTGGACGTACCCAGAACCCAGACAGCCTACAGGCCCAGCCATCCCCTTCCGCACCCACAGACCCTGCCTTTTTAGAAGGGGCCCGCATCTCTGTTTCTGCCTCTCTATTCCTGTGATGTCAGTGCCCCTCCATCCACACTCATTCTTGCTCACACACACTCACACCTGCTCAGAGACCCTGGCACGATCTGGTTTCCTTCCTGCAGAGACGCTGACTCTCCAGCTGCCTGATCAGCTTCTCTTATAGCACGAGAGTTGGGGCTCCTGACTGGCCCTTGGGTTACTTTTTATGGCTCTGGAAGAATCAAAGGGCAAAGGCCAGTCTTCCCAGGCACCTCCGACTTCCTGAGAGGACAGAAGCCACTCATCCCTCCCGACACACAGGCACACGTAGGGTGAAGGGCCGGCAGCTGGCCTTAGTCGCCATCGTCCCTGTCCTGGAGTTCCCTCCCCCCTCACCCGCTGTCCTGCTTATTTCCACCTGATCAGCCAAGTGCCCCAAACTCCCCTTTGACCACGCTGACTCAGGGCCACCTCCCATCTCTCCGGTGCCACAGCTTGGAATTCCCCCAAACTCAAAATCTAATATTTTCGAAGATACAACCTGAAAAGGTAGCCAAATCACAAACGAGGTCTCCCAAGAACACACGTTCCTATTTATGGAGCGAGGCCCTCCCCACTGGGCCACACCGGCCTGGACTCCGGCTCCAGCCAGGTTAGGTCACACCTGAACCACGCATGCTCTGCTGTTTCCCTCCAGCATGTACACCATGCCCTGCATGCACTGGAGCTCAAAGACCAGCCGCCCCATTCCCCGATTCAAGACAACAGCAAGGGACACTCCAAAGGGCTCATTCATGTCACAATCCAGGCCCCAAGGTGGAGCAGGAAAAGCAGTGCTTGTATGTGGAGCCACTCATTGCTAACTGGCCATGAACATGAATGGGCCAGGATCGCCTGTGCTCAGGAGGCGCTCAGCAGAGAGCTGGGGTTTTATAACGATGTATTTACAAACACAGGGGCAATGTATTCAGTAGGGCTCTTACGTTCAGAGAGTTAATTTCAGGCAGCTTTATTGCAAAGTCAGCATTCCCTGCAGTGTCCTAGGAAGAAAACCTGCACATCTACACTGTGGGATGGAGGGTTGTTAGGCACTCCCACGGCACAGGGCCTGGCTTTCCCTGCTCTTCCTGATACCAGAGCTCTGAAGGAAGGGGCAGTTTGCTCAGTCCTCAGCACTGGCTGCCATCGTCTCACCATCACCCAGGATGTCCCCATTTTACAAGGGAGAATATCGAGGGAACAGAGGAGGTTGGCCAATTGGCTCCCCTTCCTGTGCCCTCGCTGGACTTAGACCTGTGCCGGAGACAGGCCTGCTGTGTGGGGCCCTGATCACGGGACCTGGGTGGCAGCGCCTCATGTTTCCTGGGGACAGATACGGGGGGGAGGCATACAGACAGTGCTGGGTGGACAGTCCTGAGTCTGCCCCCAGCGAATCCAGACTCCGATACATAGACACCGGGGGTTCTCAAAAGGCCACCTTCCTGCAGGAGCTGTTTGTAAAAGGAGCCAGTGGGAAGCCCCTGCTGCAACCCTGGGATTCCGGGTATGTGCTGTGGGAAGGGAAGCTTCTAGTGCCACTACAGGCCTTCCCTAAATATCAGAGCACCGCTCCCGCACAAGTTTCACTAGAGCACGCAGCACACCAACGGTCCCGGCCCGGCCTGGCATTGGTGGATGGTGAGTCAGGGCAGCCTCGAAACCTGGTCTTCGCACGAAAGACAGTGTCTCCATGTCCCTCCTCAGCAGAGCTTCCTGCGGGGGAGATGCTAGCAGCCATGCCCTCTTTCTAAAACGGGTTTATACCACACTTGAGAATAATAAGGGTTCGAGGCGGGGCCAGGCCAGCTCAGACCACTGCACAGGTAACCGCGGTGGCCAGCCGCGAGCTCTAACGGCGTGAAGCGGGAACGGGAACAGGCAAGCCTGGAACCTCAAGTCCACTCCATTCCTTAAACACCCCCTTTGAGACTGGGCCAGGACACAGATCGAAAGAGTATCTAGGGTTGGGACAGCATATCTCCTTTTTAGGGGGAACCATCTAATTAGAGCTGTTAAGGTGGGGAGTGGCTAAGTAAATAAGCACTATGTGGTTCAGGGTGCGGTGTAACAATGGGGAGATTTAGCACTGATGGGGTCATGAGTCAGAGGTCAGAAGGAACCTCACATGGAAATCTGGGAACTGCAACTGCCAAACTCAAAATGCCAAAGGAAAGGGAAGTGAGCCGTGTCAGGAAAAGCAATGCAAGCAGGAGGGCAAAGCTCATGCCCTCCAGCCAGCCCCTCCTGGGGCAGCTCAGGCCCGCGTTCCCGGGCTGCACCCACCTCCACCGAGGGACCCGGCAGAGTCAGGGCTGCTCGTGCCCGGCCTGCAAAAGGGGACAGGGACTGTGGCAGGGGAAGATGGCAATGGACTTCGCGGTGGGTGTTCTGTGCCGGCCCCTTGCCTGTGTTTCTAATTCCTTTCTGACTCCAGGTGCAAGGCTGTGACCTGCCACCTGCACTGCTCAGACTGCTGGGCCACCCGGGGACCTGGCCACGGTTGTGGTTCTGTGCCCACCTCTGCTCCCATGGTTTGCGGGTATGACATTAGCAAAGTGAACAACTCCCACAATCTCCAAGCCTGGATATGATATTATTTATGCAAATACAACACCCCCATTTGAATTCTAAATATACCAGCACACCAGGTGACCTCATCTCCCTAACAATAAAAATCCCCCGCTAACTTTCTCGGGGGGGATCACGCTCCCACCCACTCCCATTCCCACATCTTTTCCCAGCAGTCCCCAAGGCTCATCCCTCTCAACCCAACTCTGGGCAAAGGTGAGCTGAGCGCCCCCCACCCCCCAGCACTCACTTCAGCAGGTCCTTGTCCTTGTTCAGGTGCTGGAAGAAAGACGGCTCGCAGATGAGCTGGTTCTCCTGGCACACCTGCTTGCAGGACTGCCCGGGTGCCGCGAGCTTCACCTGCAGGGCACTGAGGGGTGGCCACATCACCTGTCCGTGGCAGAAGTCCTAGAATGACAACGAAGCCATCAGCCAAGGGAACAAAGCTGCAACCTGCGGTCCCCGGCCTGCCGAGCAGCCCGATAAGGAGAGGACGCCTCTGCACGAGGGCAGTGAAGGGGAGAGGTGGGCGCCAAACGGGTTAGAACCGGCCTCAGCCAGACCCTGTCCTTGGGCCAGCTCTTTACCTCTCTGCCCACCAGCTTCCTCAGCGGCAAAAGGGGTGACAGCATCTCCCATCTCCCACATGGGTTGGGCAGCCCAGGGACTCTGAGGACAGTGCGCAAGCTCTGGGTGCCAGTGGTGCCCGAGTCCCACAACCATTCAAAACTTTACAAATGACTGCTAAAGTCTTCCCTAGGTGAAAGAAATATGAACGTGAATGAAGCACAGTCTCTGGGCTCAAAGGCTCAGAGCACAGTAAGGGAGGCGAACATTAAAAAAACTAAACAACAGAACAAAACCGATGTCCAAACAGGAACGCACAGGCCACTCAGAGGAGAAAAATAATTAACTGTGGGGAGGGGAAGAGTGATGGTGGTAGCTATCAGAGAAGACTTCCAGAAAATAGAGACTTCCAGGCTGGGTTCTGTAGGCTGAATAGGAGTTAGCAGCTTATCACTAACATGGTGCTTTGCAGATAATTGGTGCTCAATAAAGAGCTGTTGAACTGAATCGAATGGCTTTACATCCTGGAGGTTTGACAGCAGAAGTAGAAAAAAACAATATTCTAACTGAGAAAGGCTTTCTACAGACAGAATAAGACATAAATAGTAATTTCCAATCTGGTTAACAAGCCCACTCAGAACACAGAACATCTGCATTTCTCTATAACAATTATTTCAACCAGTCACCAAATTTCCCTAAATTTGCTTGACTATTCTGAAAATTTCCGGCAGTAACTGTAATGAGAAAGGTTTATTAACCAACAGAAGTTTATAGAAAAAGTAATGTTCTGAATAAATGAACACAGCTTACTGTGAAGAAGTCAGGGTGCTGCTGCTTTTGTCACCGGGCTGGGACAGCATGGAGACAATGTTATTCACAAACACCACGGGCTAGAGAAGATGGGGGCTCCTCCCTGGAGGGAGGCACCTGGCAGAGGGGCAGCCTGGCCCCTCCCTCTTGGTTGTAGGGGATGGGATCTTTCCCATAAACTCTTCGCCCCCACCCAGTCCAGGCCCAACCTTTAGCAGAGTTACTACACCCGTGACATGCCAGGAACAAGTGGATTTCTGTGCACAATCACATTGTCTGGAACCCAAAAGACAGGCTCAGATACAGGTGTAGAGGCAGGATCAAGAGTAAGTAAGTTCAGGAATTTGTGTGTGGGGGGGGGGAGTGTGGGGCAGTGGTGGCAATTTCTAGGTCATGACATTGGGGTTTGGGCCAAGTTCAGCCAGTTATTAAGGGGTAAGGGTCACATTTGTTATTTATATTATAGCTGGAAATCCAGGGCCTAGAACTGAAAAAGTGTTCAATAAATATTGACCAATTGACCGTATTAAAATATTTCAGTTGCCTATTGGCACCCACCATTCTCAGCCCATGATTTCCTCAAAATGAGTGAACTTCATCCACGGGTGGCCCCTGGGGCTGATTTCCCGAGGTGGAATCTGTGTTTCCCCCAGGGCAACAGAGAAGGTGGCTGGGAATCAGAGCTGTGGTGACTAATCTCCATGGGTGATCTCTACACATGCAAATCAATCAATGCACCAACAAGCTCTCTCTGGAAAAAGTTAGACATGAACCTCTCACATTCCATCTCCTTCAACTGCTGGGAGTTGACCCAGGAGAAGGGAAAACATACGTCCACATGCATGTTCACAGCAGTACTCTTCACAACAGCTAAAAGGTGGAAACAGCCCCAATGTCCACTAACTGGTGAATGGATAAACAATGGAATACTAGTCGGCAATAAAAAAGGAATAAAGCACTGATACAGGCTGTAACATGCGTGAACCACAGGAACATTATGCTGAGGAAAGAAGCCAGAAGTCTCCAGCAAAGGCACATCTACAGAGACAGGACACAGATCTGTACTGCCTGGGGCTGGGGTCAGGGAGCAAAGGACTGACTGCAAATAGGCACAAATGAGCTTTTTGGGGCAACGAAATCATTATCAAACTAGATTGCCATGGAAACATTCCTCACGCTAGTGATAGCCTCTCCCCTTTTCAATTCCTTTTCTTCTTGCCCTGCAACCTGTCACCTCCTGGACTATCCAGATTCACTACCAGGCTTGTCCTTCCTCCCCCAGGGAGTTCAACACAGGCTCTGATGAGCTGATTTCCCTGGAACTAAAGCTGATTCCACAGTGGCTCCTGGAGTTAACTCGTTTTCCCGTCCCTATCTCCAGAATGCTTTTCACATGAATTACACAGCTCTTTGCAAAATAATATGAACACAACCACTCTCCATATTTATAAGGTCTATACCGGAAGTAGAAAATAGTGTTGAAGAGCACAGATATGGTTTTCAGAAATCAATCTGAACATTTCTTTAAAAGAACCTGCTATATTCTCTGGCCTCAGGCAAATACCGAAGTTTTCCCCAAGAAATGCATTAACGAGAACCCTAACAGCTTGGACCCACTCAGGTAAGGGAAGAGGGTGCTCTTGACCTCAGATCACAGGGATTTTTGTCTTCCCACCAACCCCCTAGGGCTGTAGAGAGGACCTCATTTTATTTATTTACTTACTTATTTATTTATTTACTTATTTATTTAATCAATCCTCCTGTACTTGCACCCACTGGGGCCAGGGATTGAACCTGCAACCCAGGTACATGCCCTTGACCAGAAATCGAACCCATGTGCCTTCAGTTCTGGGGCTGACAGTCTGACCACTGAGCCTCACTGGCCAGCGTGAGAGGACCTCATTTAGAGAGATGACTTAAAAGAGCCTGCAATCCAAATCAACATTTTTAGTACAGTTAAAGGGACACAAGGACATTAGAGGAAAAAAGCAAGCGGTTTTCCTAGAGCCAGGATCCTTTCTCGCTGGGCTCCAGCAGGGGTGGCCAGTGTGAGGTGGGCTCCCCGCTGCCAACCGCTCAGCTGTTCGCTGAAGCCTGGGGCTCTCGCAATTGCTCTCAGTCCCGCTTCCTCTGGCTCCCACTGCTTGGTGAGCTGATGGACAACTTTGAAAGGGCTCTGGAGTAACAGCTTCCTTGTTCCCCTTGTAGATCACAGGGAGGGCTTGAAGGCAGAGATCAGCCTAATTAGAGCCGAGGCTCCCACAGGAAACCTGAGGCGTTACCACCTCTTCAGAGCTTGAGGCTCTCCTGTTCAAACCAGAACACTCCTCTCTGCGGTCTCACTGCTCTTTGAAGGTATCCCTGTAGCTGCAAACACAATGAACATCCAGAGCACCCCAACACGGGGCCCGAGGCAACAGTTTCAGGCGGGGGACCCAATCTGTCAGCCAGTGGGGTCTGGCTTCGTCTTCCTGGGGGAGTTGGGAGAACATTATGGCATCAATGAAACCCTCCAGAGAGGCCTGGGATAAACTCACAACAGGCCACTTTACTGCTCTTTTTGCAACACTTGGAAAATGTTTGCTAAGAAATACCTGGAAGATACCTAGAGAGATTTTTCCAGAATACCAATCTGACAGCATCACTGCCCTCACCCTGTCCTAAAACCTTTCTTTGGCCTCCTGTTGTCCCACAATCAACTCTGAATTCTTCAGATGAGACTCAGCATCATCGTATGACCTGTCTCCTCCTCCAGCCTCACCCTTCACATCGTCTCTCTTCAGTCACAGCTAAACTTCTAATAATTCACCTCCATTTCTCTCTATGTGCCCCAGCCTGCCTTCAGGACTCATCTGTAAATGCTTCCGGAGAGACTCCCGTCCCTCCCCTCCCTCCCCTGCAGATGGAACTAAGGATCCCAAAGCATCCTGGACATGTCACTATTGCAGGGTGTAACCTATACCAGTGGCTTTGCCTGTGGACCTGACTGGCTTTTCTGTGACACTTGAAGCCACCTGAGGACAGGGACTAGTCCGTTGCCATCTTTTCTTCCCCAACTCCCAGCAGAGTCCACAGCACCCAGCTGACACATCTGCAGAGTGGATGGATGAATGAGCAGCAGGCAAGAAAGAAATCTCTGGGTTTCTGTGAGCCCCAGAGCTCTATGGAGAAGTCACACCCAGGAGGTGGTGTGAAAGGGAAGTTCCATTAGCATGTTTTAGTGACATGTTTTCCAATCATAAGGTCCAAGATGGGCTTCTGGTACACATAAAAAACAAACAAACAAAAAAACCAAAATCCAGGCACTCCCTCCCTCCCTACCACCCACTTATTCAGTCCTTCAACTGGGTGTTATTGTGCACCTACTGTGCACCAGGCAGAGAGCCAGGCACATGGCATTTAGAGGTGACCATGCTGGGCATGGCCCCTGCATTACACAGCACTTAGCAAGGTCTGTTTAAGGAGGTCTGTTTTCCTTCCTGTCTGAAAGGAAACACAGTAATAATTTACAGAGAACAGGCCACGTGAGAACTTTTAAGGACTGGCCGGGATTCCAGAGTCCTAGGGAAGAAAGAAATAAAAGCCTTCATAAACTTGATAAACAGTCTTTTTACTTGTGGGGGTGAGTAACCCTTCTCCCTGAGAAGAAGTGGAGACGGGGAAGTAGGAGGCGGGTTTCAGAAGCAGAGATGCTGGTAAAACCTCAGGCAGCCTCCCTAACGGTCGTAAGAGCTGTGTCCGAAACTCACTGCGGAAGGAGGTCACAGCAGCTCCTGCCCGCCCCTTCAGGGAGGACCGTAGATCCCTGAGGCCAGAGAACGTGGGAAGGACAGCTCTGGGCCGCCTGCCATGGCCTGGCCTGGCAATGCTGCTGGTGCAGGCCTGGGCTCCACCAACCCAGCACCGAGCCCGATTCCAGGACGTGTGAGCCCTGTGACTGCGAGTCTCAGCTCCCCCTGTCCAGAGAATGGGGTTATTCCTGCCACCTCCCAGGCTTACGTGAGAATTAAATGAGATGACGCACTGTGATGCGCTTGGTACACATCGGCACAGTCTGTAGGCAAACGGTTGTGAGGGTTAGGATGCTGCTGTCCTTCTTAATTTAGGTGTTGTGCAAAAACTGAATGATAATAATTCACGTGTTTAGCTCTCATGGTCCAGTCTGATGAGTGATATTACATAACATATATTACAATCAGATATGCTTATGTAAGAATATGCTACGATATTATACAAGCTATAACGTACTCAGTAATCAGCACACTAGTTTGCATTTATTGAGCACTGTGCCAGCCCTGTTCTAAGCACTGCCTGTGTATTAGCTCATTTAATACTCACGTTGGCCATACGGGGTTCTGTTATATCCCTATTTTACAGGGGAAGAAACGAAGACACAGAGAGGCTGAGTAACACACCCAAATCACAAGACCAGAGTCAGAGTGGGGGCACTGGAACCCAGGTGGCTGGCTGCAGAGCGTGCCATCTTGTGGCCAAAAAAACTCAGAATATGAGATCGCCATCCTGAAGCCTACGCACCAGGGCACTCCCTCTGACAGCAGCACCAGGGTTTTCACTGCTCGCATGGTCTGTCAACCCAAATCATTCCTCTGAAACCTATATTGGGCCTAGGAACTATGCCTACTTGTATTTTTAACATACCGTTTCTATTTGAGTCTGCTAATCTTCATCCCCTATTGTACAAAGACTTCTTGATCACCCCAAGACACCCTGCTCTGCCCTTTAAGAGGAGCCCCTTATTTCTGGAATCTGGTCAAGGAGTTCATTCTCCCCTACCCACAGGGGCTCTCGGTCTGTCTATTTCCAGCTCTGTGTTGCTTTTGAAGCCTAAGGAATTAAATGTTATAAATGAGGCAATGACACACTTGGCCTTTACTTCCATGAACACAAGTCACAGCTTCCATGCTGATGGGGTCATGGGACTTACAGAACCCTCCCCTGCTTTGGAAATAAAGTTCTGCTTTTATCTGTTTTATAAACTTAGGTTTCATGTAAAGTTTTGTTTGAAAAGAGGTCCTGTTTTAAAAGATGTTTGAAAACCACTGAAAAGTCTTAACCTATTTAGAATTACAGAACATTTATAAAAGGAATGCTTAGCAACCTCAGGGTTCAGTCCTGGCCTTAGGGTGAGAAATGACCATCGGCAGGACTAGAGAGCCGTCTCTTTGTACTCCTCCCCACCCAGGTCTTTGAGATCCCTCTCAGAACCCCGTCAACATACAGTCTGATGGTCAAGGAGGTTTTCATCTTGACCATTCGATTTCTCCCATAAGTTTCCATTTGGCTTTCCACTGTCATAAAGAACATTCTTCCCCCAAGGACAGACTGGCTTCCCTGGGTGACCACAACAGGGCATGCTTTAGAATTCCAAAAAGCCATTATCCAACTTCTGGAGTCTTTCAAATCAGGGAAATAACCACAGAAACATGAGCTCTTACCCGTTCATGAGAGCCCTCTCTGGTAACAGCAAAGACAGACGGACTTCTAAAGAGCCTCACCTGTTTTTCAATGAACGCGTTGATTCTCTGCAGCACCCCCTCACATGTGAACTCATATGGCATGTATGGCTCAATCTGTTGAGACAGAACATGGTATCACAAAAGAGGAAGATGCCAAACATGGCACATTTACCTGGTCCGTCTCTCAGCCTCAGGTTTTCATGTGTAAAACACTGATGAGAAAAATCTACCTCTTTGAAGCTGTAGTGAAGGTTATATGGGGGGTGGGGGGTGGGGGGAATAAAACACTTAGTGCATTGTCTAGCACAGAGTAGGCATTTGGCAAAAGGTGGGAAAATGACTTCCAGAGGTAAGCCCCCTGGGGCAGCATTCATGGCTGCTCTCAACGCTGAGCAGTGTGGCACATTAGGAAGTCAACATTCACTCAAACATCTGTTGAACAAATACATGCTCACTGCTCTGAGAAAGGCACATGATGAGTGGTTTAAGGACCCACGACAGTAACAAAAGCACTGTCCTACTTTCAGAGGTGAGAATGACATGTATCCAAAGAAATGTGAAAGAAAACAGAGTGATAAAGCACCACAGACAGTACATAGAGAGGGTACTTGGAGGCTGGAAGGTCAAAGCAGACTTATGCTCATGGTGGGCTTTTAAGGTCAGCGATGATTCTAGTGAGCCAAGATGTGGAAGGTATTCCAAGCCGAGGGAGTAATGTGAGATTAGATACCAAAGAAGACAGCAGGAGGGTAGAGCTCAGGATTGTGGAGGCTGGGAGACAAGGCTGGGAAGAGGATCACTGGATTAAACAGAAGCCTTGAGATCTCTAGGCTAAGGAGCCCAGACTTTGAGGGTAGCCTAGAGGTGCTTTGTTGTGGTGGGAGAGACAATCTGATCAATACTGTGGCACCTGTGGGAAGGGGAAGAAATGCGAGTTTGATCTCTGCTGCACAGTGCTTGGGCCAACATTATGAAGCCTGTGCTCTGGGGGCAGCCAGCTAGCATCACCAACCTGAAATGGAAATTCCGCTTGGCAGAAAACCATCAGCAACCCAGTGTGTTACAGCTTCAGAGAGCCCAAGAGCACTGTCAGCAACAGAATAGAGGGGGACCTTCACCATCACCCTCTTAAGTCTGTACTTGCCTATCTTGAGTCTACAGGGTAGAGAACTGGACAAAACGTCTGAGTTGAGGCCAACTGAAAATGGGTTAATGGATAGAGAAGACCTCCCTCTGTGGGCACACAAGCAGTTGGTCTCAAGGCATTCTCTCCCTTTTGTGTGTGTGTTGATTTACACACTACATTTAAAATCTTCAACCATGATTGTTAATTTCATGACGTATCTTCAAACACACAACTAGATGGTGCATCACACAAGTTGTATCTCACCATCCCTGCCTATATCCATCCATCCATCCATCCATCCATCCATCCATCCATCCATCCAGACAAAACTAAGAGGCTGAGCATTAAGTATTATATGGGCATGATTATTCTGCAAGAACAGAGGTCATTCTGTTCCTAAATAGCTCATTTCCAAAGAGTTCAAACACTTGGAAAAACTGACTTCCTGTTCCGAGCTGTGTCTTCTCATTTCAAGCTTTTGCACTTGCTGTGTCCTCTCAAATCCAGACATAGCCCTTCATACCAAATGTAAACTTTTTCTCTTCTTTTAAACGTTATTTATTTACTCAACCAGTGGATGATTCCAGAAGCTTTCTATAAATGGAAGTGAATTAATTCAAAGGGCTCCATGCAATACAGAAAAATGGTTCTTCCTGTGTGCTCCTAGCAACCAAACTCAGTTTAACCAAAGGGAAGCTGACTCATTCATTGCTTTGTGGCCCAATTCACTGTTTTAAAAGATACAAAGCCAAACCATTTTCCTATAAAGGGAAGGCAAAACAATGAAACTGTATTCTTAAGCCACCTCTGCCATCCTGAGTTGCACTAGCCTCCTGCTGGGAACGGGAGCAGGGCCTCTGCGTGGAAAGCTCTCCAGGTCCCTGGATTCAGGGTCAGAGAACACTAGCAAGCCTCTGATGTAGAGGCTGTTGTGCAGGTTGGAGGTGTGTATGTGTGTGGCAGTTTTCTGGATGACAGCCCTTCGGGAACAAGTCAAGGCTTCTTTGGGGGATGGAATGAAAGAGAATGCTGATACCACATCCAGTCACAGAAACACATGTAGGGCCAGTCGTGGAGAAGTAGGGGGAAGTTCTTGGTCATTCTACTTTGTGGAAAAAGGACTGTTACTCATTTGGCCACAGGAAGGATGCCTGCTGGCTACACTGTGTAGTTCCTGCTGGCTTTGGAAACTTCCACTATCTTGCCACCTTCTCCATTTTCTCTTTGTGTTTCAATCTGGATAATTTCTACTGAGAAGTCTTCAAGTGTATTGGCATTTTCCTCTGCTGTGTACAGTCTGATTGGTAGAGTTCTTCAGACACAACTAAGAGGCTGAGCACCGAAAAAGTTCATTTCTGATACCATATTTTTCAGTACTAGCATGTTCTCATTTGGCTTTTAAGAAGTTTCCATCTCTCTGCTGAAATTCCCCATCTCCTTCACATACATCGTCCACTTTTTTCACCAAGCCTTTTAATGTATTTACCACCTTAGCATTTAAAAAGTGGCTGTACGATAATTCCAACACCTGGGCCATCTCTGTGTCTGGTTTTATTCACTGTTTCCTCCCTTAATGATGGGTCATGTTTTCTTGTTTTGACTATTGTGTAACTTAAAATCTTGTAATTAAAGACAAGAAAGCACGGCACCAGATTTCTGACCCATTTCTAACACGTGGAAGGATTTTAATGACGTTGGTTTTTGTATTAACCTCAATCCTCACTTCATCTCTCTTTTCTACTCTTATCTTTCCCTTTACTTCATTTCATGCATTCTGGCTCCCCCCCCTTACATTACCTTTACTAACTAGTCAAAAAGACCTAAGTGTCGATCCAGGTTTTACTACTCACTAATTGTGTGATCTTGAGTAAATTAATTTCCTTAAATCTTAATCTTCTCAGCTAGAAGACGAATAAATGGGATGAGGCTCATAAAGGCATAAAGAAAGATTCTAGATGTGTAGGAAGAGGTCCCCCTCTCTATCAGCTACCACTGTAATTACTTTTTCTTCATAAGTGGCCCACATAGTTTCTGGCACAAGATGTAAAAGGTTGACCGGGGTTTTATAACGTGGAACACTAAGGATTCCATGGGGTGAACAGGGCCAGCCTCATGTATGAGTGAGTGGAGAACACTGAGCGCCCCACTCCTAGTGACTTAGGTACCAGACATACAGAAGATTGAGGGGTGTAAGTAGGGAGAGACTTTCTGGAAAGTGCAAGATTAAGTCTTAAAGGATTTTCCCCTTTGACTTTTGTTTGACAAAAGGTAGACTCCATGGTCCAAGATTTTCTGCCTTCTCTTAAAGGGAATGTGCACTTAACTAAGTATGTGGGTTGCATCGAGTCCCCAAAAAAGATATGTTGGAGTCCTAATTCCCAGTACCTGTGAAAATGATCTTACCTGGACATAGGGTCTTTCTAGATGTAATCAAGTTGAGATGAGGTCATACTGGATTTGAATGGGCCCTAATCCAAAATGAAAACACACACACACACACACACACTCACACACTCACACACGGAGATCGCCATGTGATGAAGATAGAGGTTAAAGTGCGGCAGCTGGAAGTCAAGGAACACTTGAGCCACCAGAAGGGAGAAGACACAGACAAGGGTCCTCTACTAGGGAATTTGAAGGGACCATGGTCCTTTCGACATCTTAATTTCAGATTTCTAGCCTCTAAATTCGTGAGAAAATAAATGTCAATTGTTTAAGCCACTCAGTTTGTGGTTCTTTGTTATGGCAGCCCCAAGAAATGAATTTACTAAGGAACCTGGAGACTCAAGTAAGAAAAACCTTCCATCTCCCCAGGAATGTCTTTCTGGTGGAAGCTTTAGATGTGTGGCAGATGTTCTGATGGAGTTCACTGGTGCCACACCCTACTCAGCACTCTCCTGGCGTGGCCACAAGAGGTCTGGGGCACGGCTGCCCTAAACTGTGAGGACCGGGATTGAGATCATCTATGACATTAAGGGAAGCTCTGAGAGGTTCTATCACAAATCAACAACCAGACCCTCTTCAGAGGGAGCAGAACATGGTGACGAACAGCTGTGTTTGTGTTCCCCTGGAGGTGTGTTGAGTGAGTTGAAACTGGCAGTTCAGGGAGCCACACTTCATTTCTCAAAGGGGCAAGATGGCCTGTTACATGGGTCAATGGCTATTTCTCCCAGGATTCATGCTTTTCCCGGGCCTTCCCTTTACTTATACTATGCCTGGAACCCCTGCCCTTTGGGCTCAATTCTCAGTTTAGCTTTGCAAATTCCTGTTCATCCCGTAAGACTTAACTCAATGTTGCACTTCCAGAAAGTCTCTCCCTACTTACACCCCTCAACCTTTTGCATGTTGTTGTTGGCACTGAACATATTCTGCAAACATCTATTCCTCCCTGTCTCCATTCATCCATCAGGTAAATCACTATGCTGGGTTTTGAGTATACTAAAGTGAGACACATATATCCACTGCTCTCATGTTTCTTGGAGTCAAGTGGAAATCAAGACTGTCAATGACAAAAATACGGACAGTATATTATTATATATGTAATACTAATACAGTGGTGCCTCGGTTTTTGAACGTCTCTGTTGATGGACATTTCAGGTTACGAACGCCGTAAACCTAGAAGGAAAGGCTTCAGTTTTCTAACACGCCTGGGAAGTGGAACATGCCACATGGCTCCCGCTGAGGGCAAGATCCTGAGGCCTCGCTGTCGGCTGTGGATCCCTCGGTTTTCGAACGTTTCAGAACTAGAACGATCTTCCCGAACGGGTCACATTAGAAAATTGAGGGACCACTGTACTAACTTAATAATATTAACCAACCACACACCATGTGGTAGACACTGAACTTAAGCTCTTTATACTCACTGTCTCATTAAACCCTCACAATTGCCCTCTAAAGCACATAGTGTTAGCCTACATTAGAGATAAGGAAACTGGGGCTCAGAGGTTACGTAATGCCTGAGGGGGTGCTGCTAGCACATGGTAGGGCTGGAACCCAAACCCAAACTGTCTGATTCCGGCCTGCCTTCACAGCCCTGCCTATATTGCTTCTCTTAAAAATTATAAGAGGAAATAGTGCTCTGACAGGATGCGTGCAGGGGATGGGTACACCTGACCTGACAGAGTCCGAAACAGTCCTGGGGCTGGGAGAGAGGGTAACTTAGCCCATTCCTACTCGGTGGCAAGCGTCCTTCGGGCAGGTAGCCAGCCTCGACCATGTTTATGGAAGTGAGCATCCCTTAGAGGGGCTCAGAGGGTGCTGTGTGTGCAGCAGGTATGTAAGAAATGTCTGCTGAATTGACCAAGAGAATCGGAGATGTCAGTTACTCATACAAAATTCTAGAAAATGTTTAGTTAGAAAAGCCAAATAGATGCTATATAAAAACATGTCCCGTATTTCCTTAAATATTCCTTAGCCTCACCTTTTTGTAGAAGAGCAAGTCTGCTTTTTTTTTTTTTTTTTTT